ATATATATATATATATATATATATATATATATATATATATATATATGAACATATGTATGTATATAATAATAATAATAATAATAATGTCATCACAATGTCAGCATATGGTGGCCATGTTGGATTTTGATTTGATAGCAACCTTTATTTACACGTAGATGTAACCACACTACAAAATGGAAATCAGCACGCTGCTTATTTTTCAAGTTATTGTGCTCTCAACATGCACAGACGGATGAACGGAGGGTGTTTCCTCCTTCTTAGCTCTGCAGCGTTGGACAAAAACCCTAACAGGCCCCTATTAGTGTTAACTGTAGATCTTTGATCTTTTAGCGTACCGCTGGGCGTTCATTTAGTGTATATCTTAGTTTATATCTTAGATCCTTATTACTGTTTCTTTTTACATTATATATGTTTGCTATTGTTGGATGTAACTGGGACCCTGTGTACATAATTTCGTTCCACCTCATGTACCACATGTGGTGCGAATGACAATAAAAATCCTTGAATTGGACAATCGGTAAATATGTAAAAATAAGAGCCATTAAAATATATTCAGAAAACTTTCCTGATTCTGTAAATTATAAGATCTTGAGTTCAGAATTATTTCCATAAAAGAGGAAGGCTCAGTCAAGGTTATATTTAGAAATCTATGGAGAAATAGGAGATAAAAGTCAAGTCTTTGCTGTCAAACGCCACAGCACTGTTACAGTGCACATCAAACCACAGATTAAAACTCAAAAGTGATCCAGCCAATACAACCAATAATGAAACAATATCTATTCCATAAAAAATCCTTCTTTGTGCACAATTCAGATTACCTCTAAATACTGTTGTATTTTGGATTATAATTAATAATTGAATTTCCTGTTTATAAAGCTGAACATTAAGTCTTCATTTCCTCACAACGTTAAATGGCAGCATTAAAGTGAATAACCTACCCTTACATTAAGGATGCTGTATTCCTCTGGGCCCTGGCCGGTGGAAGGGAGGCTCAGTAAAATGCAGCCATAAGCTCAACAAGCTCAAGAGCAGACAGCATCGTCAGAACCATTACGAGGAAGTAAGGAAGTAATAGAGCTCTGTTATTGGAGAAAGAGTAAAGTGTTACGGTAAGGATCTTCACTGAGGACCTGGCCCCTCCCCAGTACACACAAACTGCACTGCAGGCACCAGATAAGGCCCCAAACACCACACCCTCCTTTTCCTCTGCTACATCCCGCTAACTGACCATTCCTTCCTTGATTCATTGTATCACTGTAAGCACAAGTGAACTGCACTTCATCCTTCTTGTTTCCGCCTGCAATGGCAGGCTGAAGTCTAAAAGACAACGCTGGATCAGATTCATGCAGGTTATTAGAGCTCACTGCGCTGGAAATGTGAAACTCTGGTGGATTAAACCTTTAATGGAGGTTCTGGAGGAAAGATGCACTTTACCTGACAACATCAGGCTGAGCTAAGAAACTAAACCAGCTGACTTAAGAGCTAAATGAAATTAAACAAACTTAAAGTAAAAAACCTTCCACACAAGCACCTACAACTGTATGTTGATGTGTGAAGAACTGCCATGGGTAATTATGAGCTTTATAATAAATGTGCTGCGTCCCATTAAAGTGCTGCCGTTTTCCTAATAAACTGCTTTTTTGCTTTTTGTAAATGAGTCCTCGAGGCTCAATGGGATTTACCTGTATAAATAAAGGTTGATTTTCTATCTGTATAACTCACATGCAAGTCACAGTAAATGAATTGTGCTTATTTAGAGCAGTAGCCAGTTTATATAAGCAGCAGCTCTCT